CTCAAACTCTCATCAGTTTGAACATTGATATTGCCAGTGGCAATGTCTGAGGCAAAGTCATTTGTAGACCGTTTACTTTAAACACATTCAAGAAAGTTGAGCAAGACCAAAATCGTGTTTATCATGTTGACTACAAATTTAAATAGATCCACACAGTTCATATTTCATCTTGGATTCGTAAAGTTGAACAAGAATTTGCTGGAGGTGTGACCTGGTACAGGGGACCAATACAATTATTTTTTACCACTCACATTGCAGCAAAACATACCCTACTTCTCCCATTAAGCTTCTGCTTTCTTAGCCTGCGTAGCAAGCGTTTCTGTGGTGTTCGGGAGCAAAGAATATTACAGCGCCAAAAATGGAGCGAGTAAAAGAGGGGGGAGGTTCTCGCCCCATTTTCCGCGTAGACAAAACACCGAAAATCCCGTTCCTCGGTCTTTCTTTGCTACCAAACCCCACGGAAACGCTTGCTACGCAGGCTACTGCTTTCTTAATTCCATTTCTTACAAAGTACTTTTATTTCAAGCTGTTTATGATTCCTTTTGATTAATAAGGAAATACAGTGGGCAAAACTCGATTAATCAAGCTTTACACAAGTTTTCAAGGACAAAACATTACTTTGATTTCGAATTATTCAACCATTTTCTTCGTAGGTTTTACTTCTTAGCTCTCTTATCGTCGAACGAAAACATAATATCTGTCAACAACAATGTTGTTGGCCAGCGATACACTCATACACCTCATAAACAAGTCGAGATATCTAAGAAGGAAAGTGCCGTAGGTAGGCTCAATTCCGGCAAGTTAAGATCGAATTCGAAGAGGTCAGAAACGGAAATAATTTATCATTCAACGGTAGAGATTCGATGAACCGCGAAGCTTCGATTCCTAAAATCTTCTGTTCAGCACTGGAAATGGTGGCTTTGTAAATCGAGCAGAAGTCATCTACAGCTATTACTTGGCCTGCGGAACATTTGATATGGATGTCATTCCAGATTTCTTTCAGCATCGGAAGCGAGCGAACCTCCTATAAGTCATCTTTCCACATCACTATCAGCGCGTGGAGATGTTTGCCGTTCAGCGATCAGATGAAAATGAGCTCCAGGGAAAATTTATCCCGGCATGCTTTGCGAGTCGTGTCCAACACCGCCTGCCTCTCTACTAGGCTTTGAATTTGTTTGCAAAATACTTCAATTCTCAGTTTATACGCGTTCAAGATTCGCCTGTGTTCGACATGGATTATGTTTCTGACAGTGTCTTCGAA